GTACAAATATAGCAGAGAAGAATGAATGCAGGACACACACACACAACAACAACAACAACAACGATGATGAAGACGACATAGTGGGTCCAGCTAATTGCCACACAAACCTGATGATATGAGTTCAGTCCCTGGAAACTACCTAAAAATCTAGGTGTGGTGGTACACATCACAGCATTCCCATGTCAAGAGGAGGAGGCAGAGACAGGAGCATGGCTGGAAGCTCACAGGCTAGCCTGGAGTAGGCTGTCCATCTGCAGAGACTCAGTCTCTAACAAGGTATAAAGTGAGAAGTAACTTTAGAAAGCTATCCTCTGTCTTCCACGCACAAGTACACGCATGCTCCTCCTGTATGGGCACACACAGGTCTGACCCCCGTATGGGCACACGCATGTCTCCCCCGTATGTTCACACACACACACTTTATGGAGCAAGAAGCTGTTTAAAAGCGGAGTGATGGCTTCCTGCTTTGTGTAAAGATGAATATTTGGCTGGCGCTTTCCCTTCTACTTACTCCTAGATTTTCGGTTACGTTTAGTTTTAACTACCTGACTTTTAAAGCCCCTGTATGCTGCATCTGGTTAACTCTTCAGTTTGGAACAGCGTGTGTTTCCCGGATGTGCTGACGCTAAGGAGGGCTCATCTCCTGGGCAAATCCCAGGGTCTCTCTGCCGCCTACTCCGCTTTCTCTAAGTGATTGAAAAGTACACTTGACACACATTCCCTTCCTGGAGATCAAGTCATAATTAAATCCAGGAAACCTTGCTGACGGTGGAGACTGCAGGTGTTGGTTTTGCTATTTGTTCTTGCAAAAGCCGACAGCTCCGGCTTGTACGTGGCTGTCACCGGCCGGGCCAGTTAAGGTGACTCTGAAATGTTTGCTCTGCCTGTCGCTTGCTTTGTTTGGTGAAAATGAAAGCCTGCCAGTAGAGTGGACCTGCTTGGAATACAGATGTAAGTATTTTCTTACAAAACTCAAGCCCCATTTTTTTTTCTGGAGAAGACTAAAGGTTAGTTCCCTATTGGGCAAAACAAATAAGACACCATCACTAAGCAGTTAAGAATAGGTAAACACAAACGGCTTTTGCAAGGGAGGGATGTCTGGTGGGATGCCAGTGTGGCGCTCAGACTTAACAGCTTTATCAAAGGGGATGCGTTAAATGCTCATTAACTAAATTTACAAATGATTCCCAACTGGGAGGTGTTGCAAACAACAGAGGAATCACACACACACACACACACACACGCATGCACGTACGCACACACACACACACACACACACACACACACACACACACTCACTCACTAATTACATGCCTGTGTACACGCAAAGCAGAAAATGTAGTAAACATCTGCTTGGAAAATAAACCCCAGATTCAGTCCTCATAAAGACATTCAAAGAGAGTGGCTGCATACACTCCTTCCAAAGTTAAGGAGATAATTCTTGAATGGGAAGTCTCTGGATTGGCAGGATGACTCAGTGGGTAAAGGCACTTGCGTTAAGTCGTCAGTTTGATATCTGCAACTCACATGGTGAAAGGGGAGAACAGACTCTGACCTCCACATGAGGGCTATGGCTCACGTACACTCAAGAGTGCCTGTGTATATATGTACACACACACACACACAAACACATAGACATACATACACACCAGAAATATCTATTCTTTACCTCAAATTATTATTTTAAAAATATTTATTTATTTTATATATGTGGATGTTTCATGTGCAGGTACATCTATCTGTACACCAGGGAGCAGTCATCTGATCCCATGAGACTACAGTTATAGGTGGTTGGGAGCCACCCCATAGGTGCTGGGAACTGAGCTCAGGACCTCTGAAAGAACAGTCAATGCTCTTAACCACTGAGCCATCTGTCTAGACCACAGTGAAAGTTTTTGGGTCTCTGCAGGGAGGCAGCAGAGACTGTAGGATCTCCACGAAGAGGAAAGTTTGCAGTCCCTGAGACGCTTACAGCTGTGCTGGGAGAAGGCCTGACGCAGATGTGCCACCAGATTCAACACTTGTAACCAAAGTCCTTTGCTTTCCAAGGCTGTAAGGTGACCTCAGCCCATACCATCTTAGTAGTAGACAGGAGGTAACCCTGGATCTGGATCACACTGGCACCCTTCATTGCCTCAGTGGTCCCCCAGAAGCCACTATGGAGACTCCTTGAGGTTACATTTGATATTGAACAGGTATCCAAGGGGACCGGAGGGTCACCAGGATCCACAGTCTCATCCTTATGTCACCAGAGAGACAGGGCAAAGGCAGTAAGTACCTCCACCATTGTCTCACCTCAAGTGAACCTTTGGACTTTGCCTGCAGGCTTTTGGAACAACACACCACAGTCTTAAAAAGCACATAGGCAGTAGGCAGAGGGCCATGGAAGACTGGATGACGTGATACCTGAGCTGTTGTTCTGCCTCTGCTGTGCAAGTCTCTGGACTCGCTGGCCTACAGTGCTTAGCTCAGGGATTTGCTATGGACTGAATTGGGCACCCTTCCAGATTTATATTTTTATATCCTAACTCCAGGACTCTCGGAGTGTGACTATGCATGGAGACAGGGTTTTGAAATGGATACTTGTGCCAACATGAGGTCATCAGAGTGGATCTTAATTCATTGGGAATGGTGTCTCCATAGCATGACAATAGGACATGGACACACATGGAAGGGATAACACATGGCATAGAGGAAAAAGATGGTCATCTCCAAGCCGATAAGAAAGATTTCAAAAGAACCTATTGTGCTGACCTGTTGTCTTGGATTTGCAGCCTCTAGAATAGGAGATATAAATGCCTACAGCATAAATCTTCCTGACAGTGGTCTTCCTACAGCAGCTTTACTTACTAATACAGGATTCTTTGAGAAGGGCCCATGAATCAGAGACAAGAGGGTCTTTAATCCCATGATGCTGAGAAACGTTTTGTGTAGGTGTACACCTTTTAGAGGAATGATATATTTGCAAGAACCCCACCCTCTGTCAGTGTCTCATGTATCAAATTTGCTACATATCTGAGGATCACATTGAACTTCTGATCCTCCTGCCCACACTTCTGAAGTCTGATATTGCAAATATGGAATACCAGGTGATTCTAGGGATCAGATCCAGGGCTCCATGCATGCTAAACAAGCAATCTTATCAACCGAGTCACACCGCCAGGCCCAGGTATCTGGTCCTTTGGGAAGACTTCAATTTTCTAGAGAGATTTGTGGTATTAGAAAGTTAACAGGCACTGACTACATCTAGGTTTTCCTGAAATTCAAAGCCAAACTTCAACCCTAAAAATCAGGATTCATTTAATCTCTAACACGTATAGGTAGCCTGCGGTTCTGGTTATTCAGAGAGAATCTGGGACAGCTGCTAATTTTGTCCCCCCCCCCTCCAAGCTGAAATCCAGATTTCTGGCCAATTTCACTTTGTGAAGGTTGTGCTGAGAATTGACGGAGCTTCTTTGATCACATGGTTAAGCCCCAGGGCAGGGGAAGCCATGATTGCAAGCCTGGCATGTTTGGACCATTTTGTTTCCACTTAGAAGAGGAGTAAGGGGCCTGAGCGGATGGCTTAGCCAGTGAAGTGTGAATGTAGTGACCTGTTTGTAGTCACAGTTTCAGGATGTGGAGAGCAAGCTGGCTACCTGAACTAGCTAAATCAGCGAGCTCTGGCCTCAGTGTTAAGGTGGAGGCAAGAGGAGATAGATAATAGTGACCTCTACTATCTGAACTTCCACTCACATGTGCCCACATATACATACACACATGTGCACCTGCAGACACACACACACATCACATGCACATATAAACATGCTTTAAAGAGTTAAAGTAAAGCAAGGGTCAAAATCTTTGCCTGGAATCATCAACGAAACTCTATGCAGACATCGTACATAGGGAACCATAATCAGTGAAACAGTACCTAGATTTCCTTGAAATGCATAGAAATTTATGGAAAAGATAAAAAGACACAGCCTTTGATACATAGCTTTTGGATAAAAGGCATGGGTGATACAAACTTGCTTCTTGCAAAACCTTGTAGATGTAGGGTTCTCTCGTTACCATCTTGGAGAGTGGTTTGTGCCATCAATGCCCAGAGGTCATACTGGGATGCTGTATAGCCTACCCAGTGCTGGCTGGGAATCTCCCTGCTTTTGGTTCTAAGTATGGGACCCAGAGCTTGCAAGTGCAGGCAGTAACTCGCAGTGAGCTACACTCGATACCCTTATTATTTAAGAGAAAGACCACATGTTCAAATTCTATCCCTTAAAAATCCCCCGAGAGCAGAGATTTAAATGAATGGCTTCCTTTGGAGCTGAGGGAGATGGTCTGTGGTGAGCCCAGGGTGGCTCGCCCTGTGCATGTGACTTGTTTGGTGAGCTCAGAGTGGCTCTCTCTGCGAGTGTGACATGTTTTCTAAGTTGTATGCTGGCCATGAGCTTGCTGGTCTACTCATTTCCTCTAAACAGTCTGGCATTAAACAGTAAATAAGCTTTTCAACAGCCCCTATGAAAGAGAAAAGGTTTGCTTAGCCTTAAAAATGTTCATGTCACTTGACTGGGTGGCTCTCCTTTGGGGACTGTATTGGGAGAAAACAATCTTAAATGGGGACAAATGTTCATACCAGAAGTTCATCATAGCATTCTTTCCCATTTGAAAAATTGGAAATAACTTTTAAAGGTCCAGCAAGGAAGAAAGACTGGGAAAATTATGTTACTTCTGTTACACAGACTTCAAAAAAGATGCTCACAAAGAGGTTTTAGTAGTACAAGGACCATTTGATAAAATTTTAAATAGAAAAATCAGAATATTAAATTATGCATAAAATAAGACTTCAAAGCCCTGGAAAAGATTGAGGGAAAAAAAAATAAAAGCCCCAAAGAAAACACGGCAAATAGGAAGTGTCCTTGGGTTTGTAATTACAGCACTTTTTCTTGCGTCCAAGTTTTTGTTTGTTTTGCAAGGCTGAGGATCAAAGAGCGAAGTCAGGGCCATGAGCACTGGTGAGTTAGCACTCGGTCCCTGAAAGTTTTCATTTTTATACATGTGAACATGCAACTCTTTTATAAAATGGAAACAGGCTTAAAGAACAGCCTGCCTATTGGTTCTTAGCATTAGAAACCTCCAGGTAGGTTCCTTGTTCCTGCTGAACAGGTGGTTTCTGTTTCGCAGAATGGAGCAGCTGGTGTGCTTTGCTGCCAAATTGTAGAGTTACAGGTGGGCATTGGGGGTTTCTGGTTTCTTGTATGTATTTTTTACTGTACTTTTTCCTGATACAGATGACGGTGGTGGGATATTGCACCCTGTATGAAGATGTATTGTTGTGACTGGTTTAGTTAAACAGTCAATAGCTAGGCTGGAGAGATAGGTGGGACTTCTGGGGAGAGAGAGAGAGACAAAGAGAGAGAGAGAGAGAAAGAAAAGGAGGAATCTAGGCATGCTAGGGACTCCAGGGAGGGGAGGGTTGGACATACAGAATAAATGAAAGGTAAAAAGCTATGAGGCAAAATGTAGATTAATATAAATGGGTTGATTTAAGCTATAAGAACTAGTGGGACAAGCCTAAGCTAAGGATTAGCGTTCATAATTAACTATGTCTCCATGTCATTATTCGTGGGCTGGCGGTCCTGACGAGAAAGTATACTACAGATGACATCACTCCGAACTCTCTAGCGTGTGCCCCACACTTCCTCATCGACCAGAAGGCGAATTAAAACTGAGGAAAGCGCATAGTTGGCGCAGTGTGAAATCTGGGTAGACACACACGGCATAAGTGGGCAGTGCTCTTGTTCTTCTGTGGCCATGGTGTGCTGTGATGACCAGATGTTTCTCCTGTGACTGCTTGGGTGTGTAGTACACACACACACACACACACACACACACACACACACACACACACCACCCAGCCACCCAGCCTACATTCCACCCAACCAGAGCTCTATGGACGGAAGGCATGCGGCAGGCACCAGTAGCAGTTGTCCCAGGGCCCAGACGGTCACAGCTGCTGAGGGGACAGCGTGGGCCTGACCTCCAGCCATCTGTTTTTTTCCCATACTCTCCTCTTTATCTGGTCCGCTCAGTCTTTCGAAAGGAAAGTGACTTAATTGAGGGACCCACCAATGTCTCAGGAAAAGGAGGCCAGCGAGCTTGGTGGCCAACAAGTGACGATCTTGCTGAGGAGGAGTGGGAGGCAGCGGGAAATCTCTTCAGGCATCCTTGGGATACAGGTATCTGAATTTTCCTAGCCCTCGTCTTCTCCCGCAGGGAAATGAGGCTTAGACTCTAGAACTGCAACAGGGACCAGTGAGCTAGGACAAACGGCCAGGCTCAGACAGGAGTCTGGAGAAGGATATCATACTAGGATCTCATTATTGGGGGTCTCCCTACACAGCCCCGGCTGTCCTAGAACTCCCTATGTAGCCTGGACTTACGCCCTAATTCTCACACATCCACCTGCCTCTGCTTCCCGAGAGCTGGGATTGAAGGCACGCACCTCCGCACTGGCTTTTCTCTCAATTTTCAATGGCTGTGTTTCACTGTGTAAATAGACACTCTTATCAGCATAATCTCCGGTGGGCTTAAGCAACTTCTCACATCAAGTCAAACAAACAACACTCGGTGTGCCAGTTGCTTCGGTCTCCACACGGATCACCCCACTGTACCCCTTAAAGTGCCTCCTGTCTCCACACGATTCAACCCTATTGTACTGCCTCAAAAATGGCCGAAAATATCCCTCTATTGTAGAACTGGCTTAGAGGAAGCCTCCTATCCCTGGATATTTTTCTTCACTGGCAAGCTTCTGAACTAGCTTTTCTATAAGGTAACAAAAGGTTGCCATTCAAACAACATAAATAAACAGAGGAATCCAATTAACTAAGTGACTCTTGCGCGCTAGTTGCTGGAGTACGCAGTTTGTTGTCAGTATATGTCTCTTGAGTTTCCCGGGACCTTCGCAAGGGGGCATTACACTCATTTTTATGGACAGGACTCTGGTTTACATACTGCTCCCAGGACGTTCTGATTCCCGAGAAGTGAACAGACCCTGAATTCAAGTGGGGCACTGATTAGTTCTTCTGGGGCGCTCTGTTGTGGATCCTCAAGAAGGTACTGATGTCAGGGGACGGCGGGATGTGCTCTGTAGGAAAGTGAGATCTCCACTGGGGTCGAGATCTCGTGTGATCGGCTTATCGCCATTTCCCAGGCATGAGAACAGCACTTGCCTCGCTGAATGTGTGCATCGAGTCCACCTTTTTAACATAATGCATGGAGGGAGGACAGGGCATCACCTTACAGAATGCTCAGAGCAGCTCCTTTGGTAAGATGTTGGGAAACAAGTTCCGGAAACCTTGGGCTTTTGTTTCCCAGAAGGCTGTCCTTTGAAGGAACGCTTCCTACGGACAATCCAAGAATCACGCACAATGACAACCTACTCTCAGCTGTGCTATAACTGAGGGCAATGGGTTGTAATGAGACCGAGCAGCTGGCCCAAGTTAGCCCAGAATAACGCGGCATCCCTTCAACAAAATACTTCAAAGAAAAAAAAATGAGTGTCTCCTATATTTTAGGCGCCAGAAATAGAGATTTTTATATTCATGGACTTTCTTTTTCTTTTCTTTTTTAAAAATATTTATTTATTTATTATGTATACAATATTCTGTCTGCGTGTATGCCTGCAGGCCAGAAGAGGGCACTAGACCTCATTATAGATAGTTATGAGCCAGGAATTGAACTCAAGACCTTTGGAAGAGCAGGCACTGCTCTTAACCACTGAGCCATCTCTCCAGCCCCTTTCTTTTTATTTTCACAAATGTCCCCAGACTCCCAGTAGCCGGTTAGCTCCAAACTAGTTCCTTAAATATCCGTTTGCCCAATAGAAAGGTGATTCAAAATTCAAGTCTGGTTGACAACTAGATTTCGTTTTAGTGTCTAATGTTTTCTTGTGTCTTGGGGCCGTTTAATGACGAACCAATAAGGCAACAAACGAAATAAATGGTTCTTGTGTAGGCACAGCTAACTAAATTTGGAATTTATAATGGGGATTTGTTGAACTTGTGGAAATGTGTTCTTTAGAAACCTAGGATTCTTTCAAACACTCAAAAGTGCCTTTTTCTCTCTGACCTACTTCTGGGCAGTTAAGCTCTTTTCAGTCAGCTTACCAAAAGCCTTTTGATGGAGAATTTAAATTAAATTAAAAGTTAATTTAATATTTATTTCTAGGACACCTGAACAGATGTACAAATGCTCCAGAGGGCACGGAATTCACACCAGTGGGGTTGAGGTGAGCTGCTCTCCAGTGAAACTGGGAAGGAGAAAAACAGGAACGAAGACCTGGGCAGACCCACTAGCGATGAAGAAGCACCTCTCGTCCTTCTCTTTCCCGGCGTACAAGGAGGGCGCTGAGTTCCTCGTGCTCTCTGCTTTAATTTCTCCCCTGATGGATACGAGATGTCATCTCACTTTCTTTTAAGTCAGACGTAGAGGCCAACTGCCACATAGATGCTTTAGAGGCAAACAAAGCTTCCTGACAAACTCTCACATACTCCTCTATTCACCTAAAAACCATGCCCAAACCATCCGAGGGTCACACGAATGACTTAACATAGGATTGGCAGAGACAGCCAGGGAATCAGATAGCCTTGGGAGTATTTACAGGGAAATGCTTATAATATTAATTATTGATCATATAAATTAAATAAAACATATATTAAAATATTAATTTCTGACAGGTGGAAGAGGGGTGGGCCTATACAATGTTTGCCTATCTAACATGCTCTTGGATCGGAATTTCTTTTTGGTTGACTATGTTATCTCTTTGGTAAAATACCTATTATTTATATGATACAATGAGATCGAGTGGTTCAAAGCAATTTGGGGAGAAACTGGAGCTCAGAATTAAGCATAAAAATAATAGAACGAGGAGTTAGAATGCTCATTCAGTGGCTATGAACACCGACTCCTTTCCCAGAGAAGCCAGGTTCTGTTCCCAGCATCTACATAGCATCTCACAACAGCATTCAACTCCAGTTACAGGGGATCCAGTGCCCTCTTCTGGCCTCTGTGGGTATAGGCATGCAAGTGTTGTGCAGGCAAAATGCACATGCACAAAAAAATAAAAATAAAAATAAAACTTATAATTGAAAAGCATGCTGGGCAGTGGTGGCGCACGCCTTTAATTCCAGCACTCAGGAGGCAGAGGCAGGCGGATCTCTGTGAGTTTGGGGCCAGCCAGTCTCAAGAAACCAAAAAAATAAAAAATAAAAAAAGAGACATAATGGAATTATTTTAGAACACAAAACTGTCAAAAACTAACATAGGAAACAATCAGTGCTCTCTTCTGTTATTTTTCTTAAATGTATAAATAAAACATGATGTTTGAGTAGTGTTGTTGGAGCTTAATGGTAGAAGAGCATTTGGCTGGCATGGAAGAGACCCTGGGTTTAAATTCTAGTATTGCCAAAGCTAGATACTCTTTTTTATTGATTTGTTTGTTTTGAGATAGGTGGCTAGGCTGACCTTGAACTCATGAACTTCTTGAGCTCTGGGAGGAGCTCCTCCCAGACACCTGTGCACCTGTCTTCACGTTCCTGTGTGAAAAACAGTGGAGTACTAACGGAACAGAACGTCTAGATGTTGTTAGGGGGAAAGATGGCGTTCTGCCTGGCTGTACTATGGAAAGCGGAGATCACCTCACCTCTCCTCTGGGTGATTTTTTTTTCTTACTTTTCAAAACCTCCTGAACTCTTTCCCTCACACACGTTTCTGGGTTTCATTTCTTTTTCTTTCGACAGGAGAAGTGGTTGATAAAAGGTGGAGTCAGGCTATTGACATGTTGCGTCAAAATGACGGGGACCCAATTGCCAAAGCGGGAGAGAGGCCTCCCGTCCCTCTTGACTTCAGAATCCAGTGTCTGGTGTCTGCCAGCTCAGATTTAGATCCATTGTTTACCGACACTTATCTTCCACTCTGTATAGCTCAAGCACTTGGCCAGTTCTTTGTGACAGATTACCATTTAATCCTTACAACAACACCCCAAAGGCAGGTGTCACTGCTGTCTTGGAGAAGAAAGGAAAACAGAAAGACGAGAGCCCTTCAAGGCCACCCAGCAGCAGTGTTGAGGACCAGAATGGGAACGAACCCTATTGTTCCCTCTCCATGGCCCCTACCCACTGTTCAGTCTTTCCCTCACACAGAAGCGCGAGGAAGATGGACAAATTCTGTCGGTCTCACACTTGTAGACTATAATGCTCATTTGGAACTTTGTACAACTGCCTACGTGGCTTTCCAACGTTCTCTAAATAAAGACCCTTCCTTCAGTATCCTCTCCATCCTTCTATCCCTGTATCCGTTACCCTTTAGATTATGCACACACGAACAATTCCAATTATGCATACATGAACATTTGTGCCAATTTTTTATTCCCCATCAGGCATTGCAGTAATTTCCAAGGAAATCCCCACCTTCAAGCAGTTCTGAGCAAGGGAAGGGACAGCACAGAAACAAATATCACAGTATGTGGGAACTTTAGTAGAAAATGCGGTTTATAAGATGCTATGAGAATACAGAATTAGAAGAGGAGGACTGTCTAACTTTTCTGAGGATATCGTTTTTATAACATTTGCCCTATGCAGCTCAGTCTGGTCTTGAACTTTTATTTCCGTGCTTCAGTTTCCTGGATGCTGGGATTAGAAGCGTGTACTATTAAACCTGGAATGATTTTAAAATTCTTTCATTACATATATAACTTATGGCTTTTATTACATCTATGTATATGCATGCTTGTGCCCATGTATGGAGATCAGAGGCTAACTCATGAAAATTGCTTCTCATGGGTCCTAGGGATCTCAGGCTTGGCAGCAGACGCACTTACCTGCTGAGCCATCTCCCTGTCCCTGGGGATTGTCTTTAATTGGCACCCTTGAACCTTTAGATCAGCAGAGAAGACACCTCAAGCCATGTACAAAGTTTTCTCAGAGAGATTTGTGGCTCGGGGAGTAGAGGTATCTTGGGACATCACAGGGGAGTTTTAATAATTTTGATGTTTGAGTGGACCAAGAGCTGACTTAGAGAGGGAAGAACACGGCCCAGGGAAAAGAAACCACAAGAGGAAAAGTATACAAAAATAATTTGCTTGGACTCCAGCCCAGGGGACTCTTTGAGGGTGTAGAGGAAGACAAAGTACCCAGGGCAAAGAGATCAAGAAAGCAATGGTGTGTAAGACCAAGCAAGAATTGTAAGGACATCAAAACACGCTCACATGTATTACTAGTGCATGTCATAAAATTTATTCTCTAATACTACTAGACAAATGTTCGTTCTTTCTGTTCTTTTCCAGAAGCTTCTAGAAGATTCTATTCTGGGATAAATTTGCATTCAAGAGTTGAGCTGGGAGCTTGTTTCTGGGTGAGAATGTGCTCTGAATTCCAAGCAAGGCTTTCAGAATTTCCAAGGAGTAAGAAGTCTGCGAGTCTACACGGGGACATGGCTGGTTGGTGCCCTAATGGTAGATTCCCCAAATACTTAGTCTTCAAGTTAGGGATCTGTGAGTAAAAAGAGGGGGTTGAAAGAAGAGGACACGGGCCACAGTGAAAACCTGCTCATTCTGCTGGCGAGAAAGAGACAGAAGGTTGTTGGTTACACTTGACGTAACAACAGCTAAATCCATGATCCGTGTATCAGTCGCTGTGAAAGGCTCTGCTTATATGACCTTAGTGCTATCCCCATGCTTCTGAGGTTGAGGAATTAAACAGGAAGGTGAACGAAGCTGAATCAAGGCCCAGGTCTGGGAACACAGCTTAGTTTGTCCCGTATATACAAATTCCCCGGGGTCAGTTCCTAGCACTGCATAAACCATGGGTGATGGAACATGCCCAGAATCCCCGCGCTCTGGAGATGGGCGTGGGAATCAGGCTTTCAAGGTCACTCTCAACTGCATAATTAATTCGAGACTAGCCTGGGTTACAAGAGACCCTGCTTTAAAAATAAAACAAACAGACCAAATTAAGATATGCACATAATTATCTCTCTGTAGGAGCTGCTCTGCACTTGCTGTTCCTTTGGATTTGAAGCTCCTTTGCTAGTTAGGGGCCTCAGGTAGGCCAGGGATGGTTAGCCACGCCTGATGATTCTCTGTTCAGTCTGCACTGAACAATTCAGGACAGAACCCGAATGTGTTCGCTTCCTTCTCTGAAATAAAGCCTCTGTCTCTTGGGCATTAAGAGGGCATAGTCCCATGACACAGTTTCCAGTCGAATTTTGGCATTCATAAAGAAACCTTCCCCTTTTCAAGGGAGCCAGTCAGTGGGCAACCAGTCAAGAGCAGGCAGTATTGGGGCATTGAGACGAAAACATTACCTGCCAACTAGGCTGCTGTGGGCCTATTGTTTCTGAGGCCAGGGGGAAGGACGCAGAACAGAGGGGTTTTGTGCTGTCGGAACATCTTTGATGAACAAACACATCTGTACCGAGTTGAAAAGGAAAATGGGCCTGGCCACTTTCTTCCTCCCAGCTTTGCTAGGAGTTCCCGAACATTCTCACAGTCATGCAGCAGAAGTGTTACTTTGTTCAAACTGTAACCACCATCCCGTAACCACCATCCCGTAACCACCATTCCGTGGGCTTCACCTGCCTTTTCTCCAGCTGGTCCCTCTTAGTTACTCATCACTGCTTATTCCTAACTTGTGGGTCCACTGTACTGAGACAGGGGGAAAGTGACTCAACAGAGTCAGGTATCCCCAGAGACGTGTCTTCCAGAGTCCCGGGCCACCAATGTATTTTCAATCAACAAGCCTGCATTGAGCAGTCACCAGAGCAAACACTTCCTCAGAGGCAGAGAATAGAAAGAGTCAGAGTCCAAAGAGTACACAAGGAGTCTCAGGAACAGTGCCCAGCTGCCTGACTTGCAGACCTTTGTGGTTCTTGTTTCCTTTTCATTGTCTTCCATGACCACATACATACAAACACACATGTATTAAGACCATATATATGTTTATATATGTATATATGTCATCTATATAAGCATACACACACACACAAATACGTATATGGCAGAGAACTTCTCAGTCTTCAAAATATTGTTCTCACAGAGAATACCGTTACCCAGAAAATCGAGAGAGACACTATTTCAGTCGAATATTAGATGGTAAATGGTTTCTCTGCTGGCCTGGATCCCCAGAGGCTTGTAATATGAAGTTCGGAGTCCCAGCCTTCATTCTTAGCATGTGTAGAAATCTTTTAAAATGATTTTGTAGATAAATGGAAAGTAGAAAAGCTTTGGTGTTTAACAGTAAAAACTTTTCTTGGCTTACAAAAACCCCCTTTTTTAGAGTCCTAGAGGACAAAAAATATCTGCATAATTAAATCAATGTATCTTATATAATAAATAGCAAGTCATAAAATCCCAAAAAACCTGGCAGGGCAGCTCTGAGACAGAGGCTGCCTGACTCCTTGGGAGTTTGCTCAATTGCTTAGCAGCCATGAAAATACTTACAAAAAGTTCCCACCATTGTCCTTCCACATCTAATGGTCAGAAGGACACCAAAACAAAATGAAACAAAAATCTTAGAACTTGAAAATCCACAGCCTACATACCCCAAAATCTTGGTCCTCCATGAAGGGAGCTTGTGGTCTAGTGAGCCATGCGTTCAAACAGCCCTGGGCTTCCTCTCTGACTCACAGATCCGCCGTTCTGATGCAAGGCTCTTAGTGGGAAGCTGTTTTCAATTCAGGGCAGATGTGGGACACTCATGTAGCCCTGGAGATTACGAACTTTAAAACAAATCGCCTGGAGGATGATAAGTCCAGAGGCAGTATCTGCTTCCTGAGGCCTCGCTGGGGCTCCTTCCAAACACTCACCGGCTGACACTGTGGCCGAAAGGCAAGCCTGGCTCGTTGGGGTCTCAGGCTGTAAAGCGAAGCCTGCAAACATGCCTCAGAAGTGAGCCTGTGCATACATCCCAGAGGGCTTCACCAGACCTTCAGACGCATCGGGAACAAACATCAGGAATCGAAACGCTCCGCCCTTCTGGGCCCCAATACTATCTTTATACCGTTTGACTCATTGTGCTTCCCTTTTCCAAAAGCTGAAATTGAATTGTTCTGGTTCAGACTTTTCTTGGCTCATGAAAGGGAATGGGAGGGAGGGCTAGTCCAAGACTTGCATGGAGAAACGTCTAGAAATCCATTTAACATAACAAGTTTAATGTTCTAGAATAACGTTCATATGGCACACACTGTCTATGTCTTAGCATACACTCTTTTGGGGGAGTTGACCCATCCTCCAGATGTATCCCCCTTCCAGATAAATATAATTTAATCCAGTTTAGTAGCCCTGAAAAGAAAGGTTATAAAAACATTTATTTTTGAAGGTATTCAAAGGGGAAATTTTTAATACTTTTTAAAAAATACAATACAGGACCAGGCATGCCGTAAAATGCCTTTAATCCTAGCACTGGAGAGGGAGAGACAAGTGGATCTGAGTTCGAAGCCAGCCTGTTCTACAGAGTGAGTTCCAGGACAGACAGGGAAAACCTGTCTTAAAAAAAAGAAAGAAAGAAAAAAAAAAGAAAGAAAAGTAAAAACAAAACCGCAAATCACAAACCACAAACCAAACCAAAACCAACCAACCAACCAAAAACCCCACCAAGTTTCATATAGTGCTGAAAACTGTAAAAGTTGGTGTGTGTTGTATTTTGTTCACACAGAGAAGTCTTTGTGCGAGTCACATCGGTAAAGAAGAAGAAGATGGCATCATTAAAATTCATATATTCAAAAAGGCACAGTCTAGAGCCAGCAAGGTGGCTCAGTGGGTAAACACACTCATCCCAGGAGGCTGACGAACTGAGTTTGGGAACACAGGGTGGAGGGACAGCATGAAAGTTGTTCTTTAACCGATGCATGAACACTGGCATGCACATACATGTTCAGCATGCACACAGACATTTGCAGCATGCACACATACGTGCAGCATGCACACATACGTGCAGTGCTAATGTATATACAGAAAATAATTTTGTTCCCTAGTATGGCAAGTGTGACAAGACAGGTCTGAGTACCAAGTTACCAAGGACCCTTAGGGCTGTGAGTTCTGTCTTCAAGGAGAAAGACCCAAACTGCCAACTAAACTCTTTCTTAGTAATGTGTGAAAATAATCACCAATTGGTATTACTTGCTTTTTATTGCATAATATTTATTGTTTTGACAAGGTTTTACAGAGCCCAAGGTAACCTTCAACTTGCTGTGTAGCTGAAGATGACCTTGAACTCCCGATCCTCCTGCCTCTACCTCTCTGGTGTTGGGCTTAGAGGCAAGTGACATGATTTCTGAGTTATCAGGCAGTAGTACATGGGGTATTGAGAGTTCCGGACAGAGCCGAAAGGGATGTCTCCCTGCATCTGCATCTCTTTAAAGGAATGGACCTAGATGAACCATCACCACTGTCAGTTTGTCTGTTTGCACACAGACACTGGACTCAATAAAGTCCAAAGTTCAAATATCAGTGATGATGTATCAGCTATGTCGGGTGGGCCAGAGGAGGAAGCCTTCCCTTATGACCGCTACCGACTTAACATCCCAAAGCCTCCCCACACCTTGGAGCTTGTATCTATAATGAAAGTGGAGAGGGCAAAATTTAGCTAAAATGTAGGACCTGAGCTATAAGGATACTCACGACTTCACAAAGATTAGGACGCTAGGTTTTCTTTGGCTGGATAGGATATTAAAGAAACTATTTTCCAAAAGTGTAATTCCTAAATTCTGATCTTGCGAATAGGCATCAGCAATATATTTACAAGTAATTAGGGCTAGTTGGACCAGCTTGCTGTGCTAAAACACTGACCAAAAGCTACCCCCCTCTCATTTCAACCTACAGTTATAGTCCATTATTGAGAGCAAGCAGGGCAGGTGCTCAAAGAGGAACCAGAAGTGGGATCCAGAGACCACAGAGGAACTTAAAGGAATGATGCTTATTGGTCCATTTCCCTGCTGCTTGGTCAGCTACTTTTCTTATGTAACTCAAGCCTCCTTGCCTAGATCTCACAGCCCATGGAAGGCTGGGAAGTCCTCCATCAATTGAGAAAATACCTCATGGACACACTTACAAACCAATCGGAAGGAGGCTAGTCATCAAATAAAGTCCCCACTTCCCAAGTGACTCTAGTTAGTGTCGAGTGGCCAAAGACTGCCCAGCACACCTGTTTGCCACCTGTCCCCTTGTCTGTCCAAAAAAAAAATATGCTGGACTGTTCATCTTCCCCTAAAAACCAAAAGAGAAACTTGACTGTCTGGGAGATGTGTTAGATTTTGAACTTGGGTCTCAGGAGTACAAGCAGCTGTGCTTAGAAAAGCAATGTCTACCAGTGTACAGTGCTTAGTGGTTTTGCTTCTGAACCAGGCAAGGATCCACATCCCTCCAAGATGTTCTTTTTCACAGTCAAAAGAGACAAGATCTCATCCTTATGAAGAAGCCTGGATACATCAGTGACATCCTATTAGCAACAGTGTTACCATTACGTGAAAGAGTCTAAGTAATATCCTATTAGCAACAAAGTTACCATTATAATTTTCTTTCCATGCACCTGCTTTCATTTCCTGGCCATGGCTTGATACTAGAGGAATATTCTTCAAAATAAACAGTATACTACTGATGTTAGGTCAAACTGTGTCCCCTCCCTCATCTTCAGATTCGCTTACCAAAGCCCTAGTCTCCATACCTCAGAACGTGACCTCATTCGGAAAAAGGATTTTTAAGGAGATAGTGAAATCAGAAGGAGGTGGCCAGGGTATGGACTAATCCAGTTCTAAAGGTGTCCTTATAACAAGAGAAGTTGTTGTCACAAACACGTGTAGAGAGAATAATATATGCAGGACGAGAGACCCCCAAGCCAAGGTGGGAGGCCTGGAACTGGCCCTTCCCTCTCAGACCTCAGAGGGAATCACCCCCGACACCACCTTCATCTTGGACTTCCAGACTCCACACCATTATGGCAATAAACTGTGTAAGCCGCCACACTAGTACTTTGTTCTGGCAGCCCTAGTTAGAACATGCAGCTAGCATCTCCTAAAACCGGATTTTACAGTGCGTCTTGTATCCGGATACTCGCCGCACACAAACCAAGGCATCTTAGTATTAGAGGATGGTGGGATGGAGGAGTCAAATGCCGTGAGAACCTGACCATGGGAACTCTTCAGTAGTCATTCATTTCGTTAGTTATTTAGCTTTTCTCTTAAATTTCAAAATTGCATGTGTGTGTGTGTGTGTGTACATGTGTAAGCACGCATGAGCACACATGACTGTGAAGCTCAGAGGACAACTTTGGGGAGCTGGGAATTGTTTCTATCACAGGGATCAACAACAGGTTCTCAGAGCTGGGTGTGGTGACACACGCCTTTATTTTCAGCATCCAGGGTGCAGAGGCAGGTGATCTCTATGAGTTTAGGTCAGTCAGGTGTGTATATAAAGTTCCAGGCCAGCCACGACCACATAGTGAGACCTTGTTTCAACACAAACACACACGTACACCTTGTTTCAAAACACACACACACACACACACAGACACACACAGTTATCAGGTACTTTTAGCCATGGGGCCATCTCCCTTGCTCTAGTTATTTAGTTTTATGTGATCAAAGTACATATGCATATATGAAACTATCATAATGAAGCTGATAATTCTATATAACTAATGTTAATTTAAAAGTTACTGGCATATCCCTGCTTTCCACCTCTCAAGCCAGGTAAGACTGAAACAATCCAACAAAGTACAACAAAAATCACCGTAAATAGAGTCGATGAGGAGAGGACACACACATGGGAACATTCGTGATTCTGTTCAAGGTGTGCTCTGCACTGGTACACAAGACACAGGGCTCCTCAGCTCTGTGTCTCTGAAGCATGGAACACATGACTCCAGGAGCCTACAATACATCCTCTTAGAAATGTTTCTCCAAATATAAACCAAGGGAACAACATAGTAATTCACATCACAGAGGTAGGCCATATTGATTTTCTTCTTACAGCACTTTTTCAATATAAAAGGGCCAGTGTAGACATAGCTAAGTGGTAGAATATCTCCTCAACTGTATGAGGCCTTGTGTTTGATTCCTTTCAGTGAAGCAATGAGAGAGAAGGGTAACAGGGGACACTAAGAATGAGGATTGCAGACAGACGTCAACACAAACACTTATGACACAGAGCAAGCTGCTATAGTTTCCAAAGATAAAACACAGACTGAATCCAAAACTGTGATTCCCAGATGCAGAATCTGGCAAAGTTCAGAAGGGAGGAACTTGTGTCAAGTCAGCATGAAGAAAAGGCAAATCCCCCAACTTTTAGATTTATTAAAATCAATTTCCAGTGTCTTTCTTCTTAAAGAGCACAGGAGAAAACAGTCTCTCAATACTGACGATGTTCATAACTCAAAGCTTGGACCAAGAAAGACAGGCTTCAAACAAGGCAGGAAGTGGAAGGGAGGAAAAACTGAAGGCTAACTGCATATAGGCCAGGCAGGTGGATGTGGGCCCAGAGGGAATGGGATTACTCAAGGCAACTTTTCAGGATCTCAGAGATCAAGAGTTCTCACGGAAT